AGCGCACGGGTCTCACGCGGGCGGCGGCGGCCCGGCCGCGGGCGGCGGTGGCCCCGGGGCGGGCGCGGCGGCGGAGGAGATCAACACCAAGGAGGTGGCGCAGCGCATCACGGCGGAGCTGAAGCGCTACAGCATCCCGCAGGCCATCTTCGCGCAGCGCATCCTGTGCCGCTCGCAGGGCACGCTCTCCGACCTGCTGCGCAACCCCAAGCCCTGGAGCAAGCTCAAATCGGGCCGTGAGACCTTCCGCAGGATGTGGAAGTGGCTGCAGGAGCCCGAGTTCCAGCGCATGTCGGCGCTGCGCCTGGCAGGTAGGAGCTCAGCGCGCACCGCCCGACCCTAGGGGTCCTGCTTCGGGGGGCTCCCTAGCACCAGGCAGCGCGTCGGCGGAGAGCCCCGGCCCCCTCCCCATTCGGTGGCCTGGCACTCCGCCGCCCGCTAGGGACCCCCTTGCAGGAGGTGAGAGCGCGATCTTCGCCCCTGCCTGTCCGTACCGTCACCAAAAGGGGGTAAAGGACTGTGCCGCCGTTCCTCCCCTACAGGAGTCTACACTCCCGCTCAGTCCCTCCAGGAACTGGGAGTGGGGTCCCTGGGTCCCTTCAGACTGCTGGAGGATCCGCAAGCTGCCAGCAGAGTCCTCATTGTGTGCGATGTGTACGTGTATGTGTGTGGCGGGTAGGGGGTGTGACCCAGACGTGCCGCCGCTCTCAGCTCGGAGTGCCACCCCCTCCCCCCGAACGGCCTCGCTGCGCCTCCCGCTCCGAGGGCAGAGTGTAGGAACCGTGCACCGAACACCGGCGCCTCCGCAGCCAGAGCCGGGCCCGCGCTCAGCCCCCGGCCCCAGCGCGCGCTTCTTTGTAGCTGGGCCTCCGCGATCGATAGCCCCCTCCCCCCTCCGGCCGCTGGCAAAGGTCACTCGAGAACGGGCGGGGGAGGGGCGGCCCCGGGGACCCGCGGCCCGGAGGCCTTCACACCCCAGCCGCCCGGCCGCCCTCCCCGCGCAGTTGCTCCTGGCTCGAGTGCGCGCACCGAACCCGTCTCTCTTTTCCATTTTGTGTTTCTCTCATTTCTACTCTCTCTTTCGGGGCAAACTGGTATGTGTTTCTTTGCTCGATCCACGTTTTCCTCCCTGTCTCATTCTTCCTCCTCCTCTCTGTCCTGCTCCCTCTCTACCTCTCTCTGCCTCCTCATCTTACTCCCATTGATGCTCATTGACCCCCTTCTCCCTCCCAGATGACAAGAGCAGGGTCCACACCTGCCCCCAGCCAGCCGGCACCCAGGACCCCTTCTGCTGAGTGGGGGGGGGGTGCAGGAGAGCCCCCACTCTCACCGTGGTGGCCTGGCTTGGGTGGGGGGTCTTTTCCTGGCCACTCCGGGGAGGGGCTGAAGCCGCCCCAGCCATGGGGACAATAGCAGCCCCAGGCACCTGATCGATCGCTTCTGTGCACAGGGGCGAGTGGGGCTGGTTGGAGCTGGCTAACTCAACCAGCCGACCCTGGAGCAGGGAGGATGGGAGGGATTTGGCTGTGTCTGCAGCCTTCTGCTGTGAAGACTGGGGTGCCAGTGGGGGGTGGAGAGGGGTCCGTGTTATTTGCTTCCCTCCCCCAGGCAACCTGGACAACCTGGGGGCCCTGCACCTACATGCGTGCCTCAGTTTCCCCTCTGCAGAGCGAGGTGATTGAGCCTCCGATAGGCTTCCTTCATCCTCCACGTTGGGGAATAAATCCTTCTTTCATGTGGCAGGTGACCAAGTGCATGGGGAGGTTGCCATGAAATGTTAGAAATGGTGTCAGGAACCTGGATGGTCTTGTTTGAGGACAGGATCCACTCTGTCCTGCCCCACCCCCCTCATGACACGTGCAGTGACACAGGTATGTTCACAGGAGACACTCAAGCACACCAATGCACAGTCATGGCCTGCCATGTGTGCGTGATGCAGGTGACATTAGGGAGCAGGCCAAAGGCAGAGTTCTGACACCACACATACTAAGCGGCCCTTGTCGAATGGGGTCACTGGTGAGGTCTGACTTACCGCCACTCCCTCCACCTTTGGCCTCCTCCCCAGAGCATGTGTTTCGGGGACATTGTGTCTGACACATGTGTACGCAAAGGACACACACCAGTTTCCTTTTTTTTTATTCCACTGTCACAGCATGTAAGAAACAGAACCCATTTGTGGCATTCGAATGGCACATTTCCGGGCCATCCAAGAGATTGATCAGGGCGTCGTAGAACAGCAAACCTCAGTGGAGAAGTCCCCGTGGGGGTGCTGCTGTGGGAGAGCAGCGCCTAGTGGCAGGGCAGGGGGGCCGGCTTGCATCCCAGCCGGCCCTCCCTGACTTCTGTGGCAGCAGAGAGCCTCCTCGCCTCTTTGAGCCTCGGTTTCCCCATCTGGACTGGGACTCAGAATAGCGACCGTCTGGGGGCCCCTAGGGGAAATGCAGGGGATGAGGCAGGACCTGGCACAGGCTCAGATCCAGGGGACACCGAACCGCAACACCCGACCTGTTGCCGCTGTTTCCCCAGGCCCCTGCCCACTCTGTGACCCTGCCACCCGCCTGGTCCGCGCACCGGGCCCTGGGCACCTGACGCACCTTGGGCGCGCTCAGGACCGCGTCCAGAGCGCGGGGCTGGGCTTAGAATGTTAGAAGTGGCTGGGCCGTGGGGTAATTAGGAGCCGACTGGCCGAGAGGCCTTTAGTTCCGGTCGCTGCGCAAATGAAAAGCGGTTAAGTGGCGGCAAATCGCAGCGGTTAGGGGGAGGCGGCCTGGCTCATTCCTCCCCCACGCGCCGCCCCGCACGCGACAGCCTAAGGCGCCTCCAGGCCGCCGACCCGCACAGTCCGACCCCGGCAGGCCGCACTCACCGCCCTTCCTGCTCCCTAGTCCCCATCCTGAGCCCAGCGAAAGCCGCCCGCCATCCCCGGACCTACTGGCAGCTCCGCGCCCCAGGCCCGCTCCCGCGCGCTTGCGGGCCTCTGTCTCCGGCCTCGCTTCTAGGCCCAGCAGCTGTGGGCGTCCCGTCGGGGTGTCCTCCCCACCGCCCTGGACCAGGAGGCGGTAAGGACGGAAAAAGGCACACGCAGAGACAGACAGAAAGACACAGAGGTAGGTAGGGAGAGACAGAGTGGCAAAAACAAAGTGAGAAAGGCAAAGAGACAAAGAGGCAGAAAAGGAGACGGGAAACTGGAGGTGAGGGCTCCCAGCGGCCGCTCCTCAGCTGGGGTCACTCGTCTGGAACCTGATGGCTCCCAGCTCCTCCACCTCTCTCCCTCCCCAGGAATGAGGGACCGTTTAAGCCAGTTCAGATCATGAACCCACTTTACAGACCACCGAGCCAGGGCTGAAAGGGACGCACTTGCCGAAGCTGCACTGCAGGGAGACGTGGAGCCGGCAGTCCTCTGGCGTTGAGGACTGAAGGAGGATTTCTTTCTTTTGAAGCACCCAAGAAATCTGGCCAGGTAGACCTCAGGGTTCCCCCACTCCGTTGCTCCCAGACCTGTCTGTTCTTTGTGACTCAGTTTACCCATCTGTAAAATGTGTGCATTGGGGGAGACAGGCTCTGGGTCTGAATTCTGAGATTCTGGGGACGGCCTATCCTGCAAGGTCCCAACCCCTGGTGGGGTCTCACCTTGCTCCACCCCCAGGGTCCTTAGAGTCCCGCAGCTTCCCAGCCGCCACCTCTTCGAAGCCCTCCCTTCGAAGACTCCATCTCAAACGGTAATTACGGGAGAGGGGCTGGGGGAGGGGCTGACGGACTCCTCTGCGGGGGCGGGGTGGTCGATGAATTCGAATTACCGGCTCTAATTCATCACCGCCGCCTGGTCGATAACTTCGGCCGTCTTCAAATATTGTTTAAATTGCAACTCCGGAGGAAAAGTATTTTTTGTAACTGATCAGAAAATATATATAAAATATCAGATGGTGGCGATTGAAGGAAGGGCCCCCTCCTCCTGGCTCACTAATGAGCCCGGAACCAAGAATCCCTGAAGGATGAGGGAGACAGCTGGTGGGGGAAACTGAGGCAGGGAGGGAGCCATTTCTGGAGCTGAAGGGGGTGGGCACAGTGAGGGTAGTGACCGGTGGCTGGGAGTCTGGCGGGGGATGGTGATGGAAGGGGAAAAGACACACCAACTGCCCCTCCCCCCAGACTAGGACATGCCTGTCCCCCACCCATCCTGTATCCACCATCAGGTGTTGAAAAGCTGGCGGGCAGGTGGGGTGGGGGCTTTCCTAGGTTGACGAGACTCAACTCAGAGGTCTACTCTGGGAGGACCACTACCTGTCCCCCATAAATGCTCTGCCCACCCCCCCCAAAGGCCAATGTACCTTCTGTAAAACTTGACCTTGAACCAACCACAAGGGCCCACACCCCTTACTGACCCTTTAGGAAAGACATCCCAGCTGAGAACTGGCCTCACCTGGGTTCTATGACTAACTCATCCTGGGCAAGGGTCTGAGTCTCAGTTTCCTCATCTGAGAAATGGACAGAATCAAGTGCCACCTCCGAGGTGCTTGTTGAGGTTTTTCTTATCAACCTGTTCCCCCCCACCACCACCAGAACCCCTGAGGACACATTCACAGAACCTGCACCCTGAGGCCACATTGCTTACTCACCCTCACCTGCTCACACCCACATCTCCTAGTCTGTAGGGAAGACCCAGGTCTTCCTGGGCAGCCTGTGCTTCGTGGAACCCACAGAGAGTGGGCAGGGGAGCTGGAAGGGGGTCTGGGACCCAGTGGGGACACTGCAGACCCCCTCCAGAGAAACAGGGAGTAGGGGGAGACTGTCTGGTGCTGTGGGTACCAGAGCCTTGTGGGTCTGGGTACAATCCCCAGGGGCCTTCACACCAGCCCCCCATTCTAGAACACAAGCCCCAAGTGGGGTGGTGCCAGCTCCCTGCCCAGGTTCCGCGATTCTGGCTGTCAGATGGGGAGGGGCTGTCTGGGGTGCCCAGAGCCCTCCCTCTCCCCTAGGAATAAGGGACTGTTTAAGCCAGTTCAGATAATGAGCCCACTTTACAGACCACCAAGAAAAGGCTGAAAGGGATGCACTTGCCGAAGCCTCACAAGCAGGGAGATGTGGAGCCGGCAGTAAGTGGGGCTTGAGAGGCTCAGGCTCCTATCCCACTCAGGGCCCAGCAGAGACAAAGGCTGGGAGGGGAGCTCAGCAGACTGAGGCCAGGACTAGGAGGAAGGCTCTCCAGGTTACATCCAGGTCCAACTTACAAACACTTGGGTGATGCTTGGGCCAGGAGAGACGGCCTGTACTTTCCTCCTGACACAGAGTTGGACAGACTCCTGTGCCCACG